CTTCGCAAATTTTTGTTCCCTTTTATCTCCAAAACTGGCAGAGATAGGTCAATAGTTACTATTAAAGTTGAATAGGAAGTCATATACTGGCAATCTAAGTGTGACCTTGAAATTGACCTTTGACCTACTTTTTATCATGAACTGAACTCTGCTAATTTATTTCCCTTTTAACTTTAAACTTGGCAGAGATGGGTCACTAGTTACTATTGAAGTTGAATAGGACGTTTTATACTGGTAATCTTAATCTGACCTTGAAATTGACCTTTGACCTACTTTACACCTTAAAGTGAACTTTGCAACTTTTTTAAATGCTTATACTTTCAAAACTGGCAAAGATACGCCCATAGTTACTATTGAATTTGAATAGAAAGTCATTAGAGGCAATTTACTGTGACCTTAAAATTGACCTTTGACCTACTTTTCACCATGAACTGAGCTTCGCAAATTTTTGTTCCCTTTTATCTCCAAAACTGGCAGAGATAGGTCCATAGTTAATATTGAACTCGAATAGGAAGTCATATACTGGCAATCTAAGTGTGACCTTAAAATTGATCTTTGACCTACTTTTCATCCTGATTTGAACTTTGCAAATTTTTGTTCCCTTTTATCTCCAAAACTGGCAGAGGTAGGTCCAAAGTTATCGCCTCTCTGATCCTCTAGTTTATTTTTTATTTTTTGATCGCTTGGTACATTGTTTCCCATTAGAAGAAGACTCCATATTGGATATTGCTAGAATTTAAATCTGAATTCCTTTTATGTCACTCCCGTCTGTGTTTTCCTTGTTTGGAAAAAACTATGGAAAGTTCTTACTTTGTTTTTGATCTAGTTTGCTGAGGGCTAGAGAGGGTGATGGAACGCAGGAAGTAATGGAGCAGTGCGTAAGACAGGCACTTAAGGAATTTCCATATGTGGAATCAAAACTACTACAGCAGATTGTGCCTACATTGGCAAAAAAGAAAATCGTAAGAACTATGGGTCTAAGGCTCCAGCTCAATTTTATGTGGATTTTTATATTTGTAAATGAAAAAATTCAACTAGGTAGATAATGTATTACATGTAAGTTGCCCCTGATGGTGTCAGTTTTTTTATGACTTTATTAAGACAGCATGGCTACTTTATTTAACTAGAGGAAAAGTGTAAAATAACTTTGCATTTACTTTTATGTCTCTGAATTTGATAGTGTTTAATCCTATATGTTTATTAATTACTCAGGTGATAACATAACAGTATGACAAGATATTTTACATTGTATTAGTTCAAAGGTGTTCAGCATTTAAGATCAATTTCTATGACAAGCACCTTCATAAATCCTCAGTCGAGAGGAGAATGTTTTAACATGTTACTGTTCCCATATGTTAAATGTAGACCGAAATCCTGAGTATTGTGCTGTGTTCCAGGGTGAGCAGCCAGATGCTCTAATGATATTAACCCAGGCACTGAATGGACAGCAGTTTGGCAGTGATGATACTGCATGTGATACCTGTGGGGAAACAGGGGCAGAAAAGAAATGTTCAGCATGTAAAAAGGTGAAACTCTTCTGAACAGCTCTTGTCTTCCATTAACATCAAGACCCCAGTCAATTCTTTTACTACATGAATTTTAATCTTTGAGTTGTATTAAATTGTAATAAGCTTGTTTCAGTGGTTTGATGTTTCTTTTGTTTTAGGTTGTGTACTGTAACCAAGTGTGTCAGAAGCTTCACTGGTTTACTCATAAAAAGTTCTGTAAACAGTTAGCAGGTGGGTGGTTTTGTTTGATCATTCTTTTCAAGGGTGGAGAAGAAACTATTTTTAGGCACAAGCATTAATGAAGTCTGAGCAGTATCAGTCTAATAGTGACATAATTAATTTTAATGACTTTTTCAAAATTATGGACTTCAAAACAGCCTTACCTAAACCTAGATAGGTATTGCAACAGCAAGAAAACCATCCCATGCATGAAGGAATTTAAGTGCCATTTCACAAAAAAAAAACCCAACCAAATCAGCCAAAAAAGTGGCAAAGTGGAAGTTGGCAGATTTAACCGATATTTTCTGTGTTTGATAACTTTTACCAATGGTGTTCAAAGCACACTTAAAAAAATTCTGAAAATTTTTGAAAAAATAGATATGGCTACTGAACTTTTGGGGTCCAGACTACACAAAATATTGCAACAAAAGTAGTGGAAGTTTGTGTGTAAATTCCATGTTAATCACATTGCTACAGTAACGAACTTGGCCCATGAAAAGAGGGAACAAAATCAAGGTCTAAATGTAGCACTCACCGATTGGTGAATTTCACCTAACACAGCACTAAATTTGAATAAAATTAGACAATTTTAGAAACATTACGTTTAATACATGTACTTCACATATTCAGAATTCGTAGGGATAGATATCTGTGAGGGGTGAGTTATGCAGTAGTTCACTTCCATGATGCTGTTAAAATGCGCCTGATTTTTATTAATTGTGTGATTGTTAATATTAATGTAATTGACAAAATTCTAAATAGTTTTTCCCAGTTATTGGCGTCACTGTACATGGTTTGAAGATAAAGAAAATACTTTGAAACTTTCGTTTATGACTCTGTGTGCTCTGAAATCTGATCGTGCTTCGCGTCCAGGATCAAGTAAAGATGATAGGGAACTCGTTCTTCAAAGGCTTTGAGTGAGCTACTGAGCTTAACACTGTGACCACCTCACAGATTTCAATTAGGGACAAATTAGGGTGCATTCCCACAGATTTTAGATCGATCTATCCCCAAGGGGAGTCTCACTAGATTACTGTCAGATAATCCGGCTTAAATGTCCATCCCGCCTGCTACAAGCTGTAAGGGGGTAATTAACTTTCGTGCCTGCTCGGCTGACAGCTATTTTGCGTGAACCCCCAGGGAGTTAGGTCGATCTAGTTGGATCAGTCTAATCTCTGGGAATAGGGTCTTAGACTTAATCCAGAAAGTGGCATCGCCCACTACACACAGGGAAAGGAAAAACTTATACTGACCAAGCGATTGGTGTGGAGATGTCTTAAGAACTCAAACTTGACTTTGGTATTCTCATCTCTATAGGGTCATGTAAGTATAATTGCCTTTGAAGTATAATATACAATACCAAGCCTTTGCCTTATATTTGTCCTTCTTTATATAGTAAATTTACCCTCTACCATGGTCTCAGTTATTATTGTGGACATTTTTTGCTGAATTGACCCTGTTACTTTTGACCACGAGGAAACAATTAACTCTGCCCGCGCACAAAAGGCTTGGCACTTGCTCTGCAGGAGCTTCGCTTAGGGTCGATGTGATAACTGCACATGCTCCTTACGTAACCTGTCTAAGGCTCCGCTGTCTGCTGAGACTAGCCATGTGATGAAGGTCAGGTCAATTAATTGTCTTGATTGCAGTCAAGCGGACTTAGACTGGACCTGCCAATAAGCAGTGCCTGAGCAGTTATGCAAACAATTACCAGCCATGTAATCAGCCTTGAGATTCCATTATAGGGTGACATCAGACCAAAATGACTGTCTATTTATCTTAGAGACCTATCTGTGAATATCTGTGAAAAATCAATCTATCACCCTGGTAGAGGGTATAGCAAATTAATGTTGTTGAAAAAAGCCTTAATTTGGCTTGTTTTATAATATAGTGATTTTTTCTTTGAAAACAATTTGTTTATTCTAATCAAAGTGTTTGTTAATAATTTGCTTTATAGAGATTTAAATTTTATTATTGCTAAGTAGGGCTTTGCTAATGAGAGAGTCTTTCATATGGGTAAATTCCATAGTTTTTCAGAAACCAATAACCAAGGTTATCATTTGTAAAATAATATTTTCTTCCTCCTGTTTTGCAGATCCATTGCTTTGTGCACCTGGGGCCCATTTCACAGAGCTCTCCTTTGTTAGAATTACTAACGAAAGAATTATCTCGCTAACAAGAAGTCTTTATGATTTTTGAGTGCTGTTTCACACAGCTATCATTAACCTTTCGCTAAATTTTCTCATAAAGTTTGTTCGCTAGTTCACTCATTACTCACCCTACTCTCAAAATAGTCCACTGGAAGTGGAACTTTGGCATAAAAAGTGTCATGAATGTCCTTATTCTTTAAGATGCATGCAAATTTTTTCTACAAAAACCAACCAAATGCCAGCATATAGTTTCAAACGGTATAACTAAGAGAATTACCAAAAGACATTGTTTAATATTACCTGGAAAATGATATTTGAATGGATTTTTCTGCTAGCTTTCTTTGCTATATATACATGGGGCAGAAAAGTAGGTCACTTAAGTAGGTTAAATTTCTGACCAAAAATTTAAGGAAAGGAGCAGTCTAAGACCCCATTCCCACAGATTTTAGTTAGATCTATCCCCGTGGGGAGTCTCACAAGATTACTGTCAGCTTAGCCGGTGTACCATGAAAATCTGACTCCCCCAAAATGCGACTCCCCAGTCAAATTTTCATTATGAAAATGTGACTCCCCAGTCAAACTTTCATAATGAAAATATGACTCCCCCCATGAAATTTTGACTCCCCCCACAAAACTTTATATAAGTTTTATTTTATTTGAGAATATGACTTTTACATTGTAGTATGCATAATGGAGGAAACATTGGCACTTTTTGTTAGTTTGCAAGTGAAAATTTTAGTGAGAAAATAAATTAAAAATGTGTATTTTACCACCCAATGACTCCCCAATGAAAAAGCTATTTGTTTGATATTTGATGATCATTTCAACATCTTTCCCTTAAGTATACTTTATGAAGAATATACAGTATTAGAAATATTTGAAAGTTTGGTTGTAAACTATTGGGTGCAAAAAATGAAAAAAAAAATAATAAAAATGAAAAATCTTCATATTCATACGCATCAGATTTGGTCTCCCATGAACAAAAGGCCCTACTTTATATTTAGTCACCATACCATTGTTTTCCACATAGTTTGCATTGTGACATATATTTTGTTAGTATTTGAAAGTTTGGTGGTGAAAATTTTGGTGAAATTTCATAATTTTTTAAATAAGTATTCATCTTACCGCCTGTAGGATTTGGACTCCCATAGCCTTTTCATAGGAGTCATTGGGTGGAAAAATACACATTTTAAATTTTCTTAATAATCCTCCATTATGCATACTACAAGATAAAAGTTATATACTCAAATAAAATAAGATTTATAAAGTTTTGTGAGGGGGAGTCAAAATTTCATGGGGGAAGACAGATTTTCATTATTAAATTTTGACTAGGAGAGTCAGATTTTCATGGGAGTCAGATTTTCATGTTACACTGGCTTAAATGTCTGTCCCGCCTACTAAAAGCTGTAAGGGGGTAATTAAATGTCGTGCTCGCTTGGCTGACTGCAATTTAGCGTGAACCCCCAGGGAGTTAGGTCGCTCCAGATGGATCGATCTAAATCTGTGGGAATGCACTCTAAAGCTCTTTTAGGCTGATTTATTTAGTTTATCCCTTGGCATGTTGACTTTATTTGAGTCATATAAGAATCTAGTAGAAGTGGTTTATATGTGTTACTGGGAATCCATGCTCCACCTATGCTCGGTTCATATGTACCTTTAAACGTTTGACGGCTGAAACTGCATAGTAACACCTGCTTTGAGGTCGTCATAAAGGATCTCCAACCACCATCTCCACTACTTTTAATTTTGTTGTCACAACCAGGCAGAATCATTCCTAAAATTCATCATCATCCATATATTCTAATGGAATCTGCCTCTGATGAAAACATCATGATCACCATTGCTATCTGGGGTCACAGATGGCAAGAAAAGCAGCCGCCATATTGCTTTCAAAGACAGATGAAAGAAAACTGTAACTAAGCAACCTTACTCTTTCATTTATGTAAATGTGAAATTAAAATCTAGGGTTTGTGAGTGGTCTGACACACTTGTTAAATATCCATGGTAACAATGAGACAATAAACGAACTAACGATAGCTTCTTGAAACAGCACTCAACAAATAAGAGGCTAAGGACTGATCACTAACTGACAAATGCTTTGTCATAGGGGCCCTGGTGGAGAAGGCCACTCAGAACTGGTTTGCAGTCATATCCCTGCTAGAGGAATCTATCTGCCAGCTGAAAACAAAAGCGGATGGCCTTAGACTTAGATTGGGTTTCCATGCCATCTGGATCGGTCCAACTTCCTGGGGAGTCCTGTCAATTGCTATCAACTTAAAACTTAACCAGCTTAAATGTCTGTCACGCCTACTGAATCAGCTAAAGGGTAAAGATAATTACCCCTAACAGCTTTACAATTTAGTGAAACTCTCCAGGGAGATAGATTGATCCAAATATCTGTGGGAATGGTCGCCTTTAGCCAACACTCAAAGAAAATCAGAATGGAAACAGTTATTGACAGAATTAAAGTCAAGGAGGTAGAAAATTTGGGTGAAATAAGATTCTCCAGAGCTGCACAGGTGACAGGTTGTATGTCAGTTGGTTCAGGCTACAATAGTGTTCCAGTAGGTTGGGGACTGAGGAATGCTAAGACAGTAGAGATGTTCTCCAGTCAAGTTATTTCTCTCCATTGAATGTAAGACAGGAATTTCATCAGGAGAGAAGGAAACTCCAACTGAGTATGATAAATACCAAAAAAAAAAAAAAAAAACAGACAAGAAACTGATGAGTGGCCAAGTGAGTTTAAATATTTTATACAAATGTGAAAAGCTAGAAGTGGTGCACAGTGATGGTACTGATAAAGAAGCATCTGAAAATGCCCTTCAGAGGTAGACATGAAAGAAACGGATCAATGAAACATTA